GTGAGCTGACTCAGGGCGTGCTTTGCCTCTGCAGGTCCGGGAGCAATACAGGAAATGGTTGGGAGGGGTCAGGAAAGCCAAAGCAGACTCTGAGAAGTATACTCTCTCTAGCATGGCCACATCTGAAGCTTCCAGGCCCAGCACGGTAAGGTCACGCATTGCTCCCAGAGCCTTTGGCTAACAGATCCACTATAGTAGCTCATACCCATCCCACTGGACAACCGAGATATATAGCAGGCAGTGCCCTAGCATGGCTCCCATGGGCTTTACTCTTTGGCTCCTTAACTATTAGCAATGGATTCAGTTAAAAAATATGAATTTTGCTCTTACTCCTTAGGAACTGTGTTCATCTTGACTTTCACATATCAGCACTCTTATTGAACACCTGGCCCATGCCGTGCATGCTTAACTAAATGAGCAAGATCAGTGATCGGAAGGAGGGACACACATTCCACTCTGAGAGCCACCTTATCTTGTCCTTCATTCACCTCTATCTCATGGTCACTCAGCACCACCCAACAAAAAGGCAAAGATGGGAAAATGATGCACATATTTAAGAATTAAACAGAAATCACTGTTAGTTGTCATTTCAGAATATCTTAGTAAGACTGCCTGATATTTTCAGCACCCTCCGCCCACTGCATTACCAGGAAGGAGAAGCCATAAGTGCCTGGGAAAATTCCTGGCCGTGATTACTAAGAACTAGCACTGGTTTAGTTTTTTAAAAGTTCTTTTTAATTAAGACTTTTTTTTTTATATACATGGAAAGTTCTTTCACTTACATTTCTCACCTCTTCATCCATATTCCGTTGAACCTGTTGAGTCTTCTTTCCCAGTTAAAGGAGCCTACTCTGCTCTCTGGAAGTGCTGCATTTCTCTCACCTGTTCACCATCCTCCACGAGCACTGGTTTCATGGTTGAATCTTCTATTTCCTGTCCCTCTCTCAGGAAATACTCTCATGACCTGTTTCACAGAGAAAGTCCAAGTTATCACAATGGCTGTGAGCTACACGCTCTCACCACACCACGCACACGTTAGTGTGCAGCTTCCCTACATTGCCATATCATGGACTCTATTTCCGTTCTCTGGAGACAGCGCTTCCACCTGCATGTTGAACCCCATCATTCATGCTTCATCAGTTGTCCTTACGTTATTGTTCACACACTCTCCCTCTCCTGCCTGTTTCTATTTCTCCCTCCATTTCCCCCTCCATCCTTCCTTCACCTTCTGAAAAGTATTCTTACCATTGTTTGAGAAACATGTTTCATTCTTTTACATTTTACAATCATGTACCACTTGGCTTAACATTTCCTTCTAGCTAGTTATCTACCAAGAGTTCACTTTTCTCTGTCTCTGTTTCCTTGCTTTAAATTTATTCTCTAAACCTATGTCAGCGTGGTTTTCCCCCTCCCCCATCATTCCACCAAAGCAAATATCTCTTGGATTTACAATGATCTCCATGTCCCTAAAGGGCCTCCCAGAAACCCCTTTCACAGTTTATCACTGTTTTCTCATGAAACACACCATCCTTATCCTGTCTAGATTCTATTTCCTTGCCTATCCTTCATGTCTTTCTTCTTTTCTCTCTTTGTTTCTGTTCATTCATTTACTCAATGGATTGGTTCCAGAAAAACTTCAATTCTCATTAAATCCTTTCTTCCTAGGCAATAGCATTCATTCCTTCGATTCAGTCACCATATAAATGCAAATGAAGGCCATGTATGTTTCTCTAGCTCTGACTTCTCTTCTGAGAACTTGAAGAGCATTTCCAGCTCCTTACTTGACACCATTGATTTCTCCAAGGCACCTCGACTCATCATTCCAATATGAGACTCACAGTCTTCACCCCAACCCTATCCTTTTCCATGGTGTCTTTCTCTCTCTGAATGGCACTGTATCTGTCATGTGGCAGAAGTTTGGAACCTGAAAGTTACTCTCAACAATTATTTCCCACTACCACCTACCCACTGGACAATCCCGTTGTTGGTGTCTTCTCAGGAGGTCCCCAGTGTGCCCGGCTGGCCCAATCTCCACCCCGCCCACCCCCAAGCCAGGCTGCCGTCTTCACCTGCCCGAACCACTGCAACATCCTCCTGACTGACCACCCCTTTCCACTCTTGTCACCTCCCAACGCCTCTCTCCACAGAAGTCAGAGGGATCTTTTCAAAACAAACACCACAAATCATGTCACTCCTGTGGGAAACCTGTTACATGTACGTTCTCTTGTGTTCAGTTCTAACTAATTTCCTGAAGTACAACATATAAATTCTTGAGTAGGGAGAGACATGTAAAATTGCCCGCATCAATAGCGGTTACACCGAGCTTCCTCTAGACCTAAGAATCAATAACTCATATTGGTGATGAAAAGGATGAGAAAAAAAAACAGAACAATCCAATGCTGCTTCTTTTATGTCCTCGGTAGTGGACAAAAGATAACCTGTCTGACCTTTCATTAATTTCCCACCTGCCCTCTTTTGTGACTCCAAACATAAAGTAACATTTCAGAAACCTTGAAGCAGAGGGATCAGGACATACATTTTAAAAGAGAGAGACCATTTTTGTAGCACATTCAGTTGTTCTTATTGTCTGTAACTTGGGGTTCAAAAATATAGGGAGAGGAAACTTCTTAGAAAGCCCAGGTCTAGCAAAATACAATTGATATGGCCTTTTCTTACCCTGAGCAATCCATCTGGCAAGGGAGTTTTGTGATTAAAAGCTGCTTACATTTCTCATTTCCTTCATCAGAGGAAACTTTCAAGGTGTCTTTCCATAGTTATATATTTCTTTTCTACAACTTTGTCTTTCAGGTTAATTAAAAGGATCCTTTGGTCTGTATTGTCTTATCACATGGAAACTCTGAAGCGTCATTCTTTGAGCCATTGAGAAAGGATAAGAAAACTTCATGGCGTGTTTCAAGAAGTCCTTCTTATCAGCAATGTGGCAGAAGTAACGGTGGACATGCTTAAACTCAATTCTTGCAAAATCTGGCATTTTTCTGTGCCCTACAGTGTACCCGGAAATCTCAGCATGTAAAATGCCAGTGGTGGCCCAATTCCTTGGTAACTTTGAGTTAAGTTACAGGAAAGTCCCTTCTTTCTACAAAGACTTCCAGAGAGTAAAGGTTTATGAGCATGAAAAAGAATGGAATGTTGATGCTGTAGTCTGGATTTCCTATTTTTTGTTTAGTATTTCTATGGGTTTAATTGTTTGCTTGTTTAAAATTATTAATTACTACCGTGTCTAAGGAAGAAATCAAGAGAGACCCAGGCAGGTCCTGTCTTCATGGAGCTTTCAGAGGGAAATAAAGTAATTTCTGCAGCTACACTCCTTGTTTGCAGATCATTTTACTATTATTATTATTTTATTTTATTCTTTTCCTCACCCGAGGACATGCTTATTGATTTTAGAGAGAGGAGACCGGAGGGAGAGAGAGAGGGAGAGAAACATCGATCAGTTGCCTCTGGTATGGGCCCTGACCAGGGACCAAGCTCGCAACCTAGGCATGTGCCCTGGTCAAGAATGGAACCCGTGACCTTTTGTTTTATGGTACGACACTCTAACAAACCGAACCATACCGCCCAAGGTAGACTTCTTGACGATAGCTATTTTGACAGGTGTGAGGTGACAGCTCATTGTGGTCTTAATTCGCATTTTTCTGATGATTATTAATTTTCAGCGTTTTTTTATATGTCTATTGTCATCTTTATGCCTTTTGTGGAGAAATGTCTATTTATGTCCTTTGCCCCTTTTTAAATCATATTGTTTGTCATCTGGGTTTTGAGTTATAGGAGTTCTTTATAAATTTTGAACGTGAACGCCTTATCAGATGTACCATTGGTGAATATGTTTTCCCACTTAGCGGGGTGTCTTTTCATTTTCTTGGTGGTTTCCTATGCTGTGGAAAACCTTTTTAGTTTGATATAGCCCCATTTGTTTATGTTTTCCTTTTGTTTCTCATGTTCAAGGAGATACATCAGAAAAAATACTACTATGAAAAATTTCCAAGATTTTATTGCTCACGTTTTCTTCTAGGATATTTATGGTATCAAATCTTGTATTTCTCTTTAATCCACTTTGAGTTTATTCTTGTATACGGAGTAAAAAGGTGGTATAGAAATAAACCCATGTCTATACAGTCAATTAATGTTTGAGAAAGGCATAGAGAACATACAGTGGGGTAAAGACAATCCAGTCAACAAATGGTGTTGGTAACATTGGACAGAAACATGCAAAAATATGAAACTAGATGAATTATTTGTAACTACTTGGTTTTCACTCCAATCACTTCTTTTAAACTCTGCCATAAATAAGCCAGTTCTCCTGATAATCTCTGCTTGAATGGTCCTGCCTTTCCTTAGATTTTCGGTTACTTTGTTGTCTTTTTACCTCAGCTGTGTTATGGGTTCAAGAACTTAATGATTTTCTAGTTTATATGGACTTTTCTTATTTTTCGGTTGGGAGCAATCCTCATTTCCATTTTTGTTTGCTAGGCAGAGAAGTTCAGATCTCTCTTTTTTCCTAATGTTTTAATAATTTGATTTTATTGTTAACTTGTAGATTTTAAATCCATCCCCATATAAACATGCAAATTTGTAGGTTTATATGTTAACTATTCACAGAACTCGTTTTGTGCAGAGGAAATGGCATTTTCTGCACATCTAGGAATTTGTAAAGGTTTATATTAATAAATTAAAAACGAATTAATATTTTTTTTGCTTTTACTCTAACTTGTATTTACTACCAAATTAAAGAGAATTTGGACTGGTACAATAAACATGCATATGCTGTTCACCTGGAGTCAATAACGACAAACGTCACTATAATCCTTTCTTAATGTATGTACACACATACACATGTTCTTGCTACATTTGATAGTGGCAGATATCGTGACACTTCAGTCTTTGATATTTAATCATCAAATATTGAAGAATTTAAAGACTATTCTCTACATAGCTATGATACTCTTATTACACCAAAAAACACTATTTTTAAATTATAGTTGACATCCCATATTTATTAGTTTCAGGTTTACAACACAGTGATTAGACATTTATTAATAATAATTGTAATAGCTGATACATGTAGAAGATTTCCCATTGCCTCCAAAATATTTTTATGGTTGTGTCTTTAAATCAGAATCTTCATAAAACTGTGGATTTGAATCTGATTATTGTGTTGCTCTTGCTTGTTTTCTAGAATAGCCCCGAATCGCTTTTTTAGAAGATAGTAACTTTTTCTTTTAAGATGATATTGACTTTAGAAGAGTCCAGATCACCTGGCTTGTTGAATGACCCATATTCTTGATTTGCCCGATTGCTTCCTCGTGATGTCATTTAACTTGTCATTCTGTTCCCTGTATTCCATGTGTACTGATACTTAGGTCTGAAAGAACAGACCCCAGCAAGCTTTTTCTGTAATGCGCTAGTTAGTAAATATGTTTTGGCTTTGTGGCCTTGCAGTGTCTTTCACAACTACTCAGCTCTGACAGTGTAGTAGGAAAGGAGCCCTAGACAATGCAGCCGTGAGTGACTTTGACTCTGATGTGTTCTAACAAAACTTTATTTACAAAAACAGGCAGATGCCAGGATTTAGCCTGCATGTTATAGTTTTCCAACCCTTGGTCTAAAGGCTGGGTTAGATTTAGGTTGGACTGATTTGCAAATAATTCTTTATTTACCACATGTGGGATGTTGACACCTCTCATCTTATCAGGACATATATAAAGTCAGGTCTCCACCTGTTGGCAAGCTAATAAGATCATTAAGTTCAGACCTCCCTGCTGTACATGCGCACTTTGGCCCTTGTGATTAATCAGTGATCTGTGAGGTGAGTTTTTGGCACTGCAGGACTAGCTTTTCACAGCGTGTTTTAGTGCTGTTTACTCAGTATTGGAAAATCCCTATTTTCTAGTTCTGTCCTGTCTTTTACAATTATTGGCTGATATTTTTAGGTATCACTGTGGACTCATGAATATTTTCAATGTTATAAGCATTTACAGCCACTTCCTATGGTGTTCAAATTACACAAATGCGGTCTGTGGAAACCTACAGGAAATGTCTTTCAGATGCAATTGCTCTGGAATTAGATGTTGCCTGCATCACATGCTTAGCATGAGATAATATGTAGAAATACAACTTGCACGATGTGCTGTAGCAATATACACCTTTTCCACAGCTCAGTTTATAAAATGTAAAGATGTAGAGGCTCTATTGATTTTACTCTAACAATTTTTTTCTGCAAGAAACTCTGTGAAATCAGGAACTAGGATCTGTGTGTAGCACATGGTGAGCAAGAAAACTATTTTTTGAGTGAAAAATTAGTAAGTCTTCACATGAAGAGTGAAGAAGTCAAGGCATGTAGGTATGGAAACCAAATACAGGTATTTGAACGTTTCCTTCCTTTTTTATGCTGTTATAAGAATTACATTTGAGGATGGTTTTCCTTGTTATATATATTTAACTTGAGGGAAATTTGTGTAGAAAAACAGGTTGAAGTGCAGGGCTTAACCCAAGACAACTGAGGAGCTGGGCCATAGTTCCTAGGCTGTTCTGGGAGTGGGCTGAGCACGCTGTGTGGACCAGGAAACCCCAATTCTCTAGGAAGTGAATGTCAAACATTTCCTGCACACTCTCTCCCACAATGGTGCCAGGATCAGTTACTTGTAATGGACACAAAAAAAGTATTTTCTATACTCTTTGGCCAAAGGTTGACAGTTCAGTTTTTTTTCTCTCTTATTCCAGGAGATAGGATCATCTGGTTTAGTTGTTAATTTCATTCTCCTGAGAAGGAAGGGGTAAAAATGATACTGTGTTAAAAATTGCAAGGCTTGTACAATGAAAACTAGAAAACAATGTCAAAGTTATCAAAGAAACTAAAGAAAGGGAAAAAATATTGCATGTTCATGGACCAGAGGACTTAATATAGTTACGATAGCAATACCTCCACATTGATCTACAGAGTCAACACAATCCATATCAATATCTCAGTTAAGTTTTCCTCAGAAATTGACAAACACATCTAAAATTTACATGGAATTTCGACGAGTCCGAAATAGCTGAAGCAATTTTGAAAAAGAAGAACAAATTTATAGAGTCAATGCCCCAATTTCAAATTTGCTACGAACTATAGTAATCAATATATGATGAAAGAGAGTTAAGTGTCCAAAAATAAAATGTTATGTTTATGGTGAATTAATTTTCATAAAGATGTTAATACAATTCCCGATGGAAACAACAATCTTTTCAATAAATGAAGATGGGAAACCTGGATTGCCATATGTACAAGAATGTGCATCTTATACCGTATTATAAACCTCAAACAATTTAAAAATTAATTCCAAATAAATCATATACCTAAATGTAATAACTAAAATTATAAGCATTTTGAAAGAAAACATGTATAAACCTTATAGGTATTAGCAATTCTTTTGTAAATATGATACAGAAAGCACAAATAAAAAAAATAGGTGTTTAACATCATTAGACATTAGGGAAATACAAATCGAAAGCATAATGAAAAAGCACTTGACATACACTAAAGTAAAAATATCTAAACCAGCCCTGGCTGGTGTGGCTCAGCAGTTGGAGTGTTATCCTGTAAACCAAAAGGTTGCAGGTTTGATTCCTGGTCAGGGCACATTCCTGGGTTGCAGGTTCAGTCCCCAGACACAGTATGTGTGAGAGCCAACAGATCAATGTTTCTCTCTCATATTAATGTTTCTTTCCCTCCCTCTCTTTCTCTATCCCCCTCTCTCTAAAATCAATAAGCATGTCCTTGGATGAGAATTAAAGAAACAAAAAACAAAAAACAACTAAACCACAATGTTTTGATGGGGATGTGGAGGAAATTGCAACTCTTATATATTTTATCTGGTTCCTAGAGGAATTGGGAGCCATTTCGGAGATTTTTATGCAGTGTGGTAGAATATCACATTTCTGTTTTGAGAAGATAGCTGATTTTTATGTGAACAACCACGGGAGGAAGGGCAAGAGTCGATGGGGAGACCAGCCAAGAGAAGATGACGGCCGGGTTTAGGGCCGGGTTGTCGGAGTCGGGGTCACCGAGGCAGATCTGTGCCTGCCGAGGAGGAAGTACTAGCATGAGTTAGCAATGAATCGATTTGGTGCAGAACAGGGTAGGGAAGAGGACTACGGTAAGGATTTTCCAGGCCCTGACTGCTGCAATGAAATGAATGGAGAGGACACTAAAAGAGATGAGAAGCCCCTAAGAGGAGTAAGTTGGTAAAAAAAGAAAAAAAAGATAAATTCTTTTATTGTCATGTTGGGCTGCTTCTGAGATATCTAAGTAGAAGTACCAAGCAGGCAATTGGAAATAGTGGTCTGAGGATCATAGTCGACTCAGAGCTACAGAAACATATTTGGCCATCATGTCTCTCTGCGAGGCTCACTGAGACTCTGTAGACAAGATTGTCTACCAGGAGGGTATAATCTGATAATGGAAGTGTTACGGGAACAGACCGCTCACCTAGAAAGACAGGGAGAATGCCAGGGATGTTAAGATAGAGGAACTAGGGACAAAAGAGAAGTTACATGGTGGAAGCAGTAACCCAATACAATGCCCAATAGTACTAAGAGGACAAAAAAATATTTATTTTATCCAGTGATATAAAGGTTGCTGGAGGCTTAAGAGAAATCTGTTTTGGGGAATGGTGGAGGCACATGACAGTTTCAAGTGTGTGGGAAGGAGGGGTAGAGATCAAATGTGTAACTTTAATAATTTTCAATAAGATAGAGATTTCCCATGTTGCATAAAAGGTGGAAAGGATACTGTTGAGAAGGTGAGACTGTGCAAGGTTCAGAGAGAGAATGTATGCACAGTCAAGTAAAGTTAAAGGGAAGTCAAGAGTGTTGGGAACCAAAATGCAATAGAAAGATCAACCTTAATACCTGGAAGCACATCTTGTCTGTAACAGTGGGATTGCGTGTGGAGAGAGTGAACCAGGTGTCAAGTGCCTGGTGCTTTGAGAGCCCAAAGTTGACTTTGCATCATCCTGCTCACTTGATTTGCTATAAAAGAGGTTGGTAGACACTTTTGCTGGGAAGAGGAGTTAGAAAAATGAGGATTTTTGAGGAGTGAAGAATTTGGGAAGGAGCAGTGGTAGAGTGTTGGATAAACAAGAGGATGAGAAAAATGCATAAGGCTTGACAGGCAGCATGGTTGGCCCATGAAATTTGGGAGAAAAAATGAATTGTCTGAAAACCTTGCATATTTCATATAGACCCTGTGAGTCCCACTTTCTTCACCTACCAAATGGGAACATAATAATGCTTATCTCCAAGTGCAGATGTGACGAACAAGATGAGCAAAAGCATGAGACAAGGTTCTGTTAACCAGAATGTACAAATGTTCATTGCCATTGCCAGGGTCCCTCCTCAGCCCTCTGTGATTCTCTGTCCTACCTTTGCATTATTTGTGTGTGTTGAGATTATGAGAAATGATTGCAGACTCTTACAGAAAGTCTGAAACCCAACCTAACACTTATTTCACTGAGTTTAATGATCACACACACCGTGCGTTTGTTGTTCTTTATATAGAGAGGGGCACAGAATGACTTGGAACCAAGGGCAACGCTGTGACTGTGCACTTTGAGCATCACAGCTTCACATCCCTAGTTCCCACTTGTTGAGCTGACTGTAGCCTCTCTCTGCTTTAGAGGAAGGGCTTTGCTTTGTGCCTTCCCACTCTGTAAGATTAAAAACCACATGCATCAAGTCACACAAAGTGGGTGTTCTACACACGTGGAGAATGAAAAGGTAATTTTCTTCAGGGTTAGGGTGAGCACAGAAACACAGTAAGTGAACGTACAGGCAGACCTTTATTCATGACAAGGAAATGCCTTGGGGTGAGTCCACAAGTGAAGGCAGTGGGAGCCATGCTAGGGAAACCCCTGCTGTACACCCAGGCTGTCCAGTGGGATGGGCATGAGCTACTCATGTAGATGAGTTAGCTGGGAGCAATGTGTGACCTTACCGTGCTGGGCCTGGAAGCTTCAGACGTGGCCATGCTAGAGAGAGTATACTTCTCAGAGTCCACTTTGGCTTTCCTGACCCCTCTCAACCATTTCCTGTATTGCTCCCGGACCTGCAGAGGCAAAGCACGCCCTGAGTCAGCTCACTGAGAGCAGTGAGAATGGAAAGACTGTGGGTGGGGGTGGGACTGTGGTACCTGCTGGCTGAGGAGGCAGTACACCAGGAAGATGAAGACGCCCTGCAGGCTGTTGATGATGGTGAAGAGATAGGCCATGGCGCGGGCAGCTGGGCCCACCTGCAGGACTCCCAGACACCACGTGCAGCCCAGGATGAAGAGCTGGGCCATTGCTTTAAACGTCAGCATCCTGGGGAGGAGGAGAAGGGAGGCCCGTGGTGCACCCAGAGCAACAGAATCAAGGCCACTCATCCCATCCCATGGATGCATGTGACTGACTTGTGACCCGCTTTGATCTTTATTCTCTATGATTCACTCAAAAGAAGTGCTCTTTGAGTTCAGGATGGTAATTTGAGTTGGACTGAGGCAGTGATCACTGTTTTTTTTTAAGAGTTTATTTATTTATTTTTAGAGAGAGGAGAAGGGAGGGTGAAAGAGAGGGAAACATCGATCTGTGAAAGATCAGTTGCCTCTTGCATGTCCCCAACTGGGGACCTGGCCGGCAACCCAGGCATGTACCCTGACTCGGAATCTAACTGGCGATATTTTGGTTTTCAGGCTGGCACTCAACCCATTGAGCCACACCAGCCAAGGCTGAGTTAGTGATAATTCTTAGTGTGAGTTTCAAAAAGACCATGATATGTCATGAATGTTCCTAATTTCATTTGACTGAAATTACTGAAAACTTCTGTGCACCCAACTGTCTACTGCGCCCGGGGCATCAGAAATAACACAGACCATTTCTGTCTTCATAGACCTTATAGTCTCATGGAAAGACTAAAACAAACGGTAACTCATAATATTTGTGATGTGTGAGGTACGTCTGCCCGGGTCCCAACCAGTACTGCTTCTGTCTTCTCGCTCTCCATGAACAGCCCTCAAGTATTCTTTGCCCAGAAAGAGGTTGCAAAAGTTGAGGAAAGCTAAAGACACCCCTAGGCTTTCAGAAGATGTGAAATGTGGATAAAGAGCCTGATTTTAGCAGGCATAGGAGTGGAGAGGAGAGAGGGAAGAGCCTCCATGGAGGTGTGGTCATGAAGGTCCATGCTGAGTTCTGGCAACAGGTAGATGACTTCCTAAGAGGTTTATAAAGATGTAAACCTTTATATATTGCATATTTTCTTTGCATATTTTCATAGGGCCATGGAAATGATCCACATTTAACAGAACGAAGTCAATCTCCCTGTAGCTGAGATAATTTCATACTGGATTTATGGAGAAAAGAAATGTTTTTGGCTTGCATTTCACAGCAAACTTCAGGATCTGAGCAGGTTTCCAGAGAAAGTGGCGGCATCTTTCTCCTACTGTCCCCTCAGAATCCCCTCAGAATTGGAACCACAGGGCCTTGTTCCTGGACCCTGCTTCGTGTGGGGCGGTGCGCCCCTCTGATTATCTCACCTCGTGTTCTGGAGGGTGGACACATCACTGTTGAGTGAGGAGAGCTTGTTTCTCAGAATCCAGATGGTCATCAGGAAGAAAGCCAAGTTAACCTGCAGAAACACCACGAGGCACATTGAACGCATTCCACATCTGTATGGCTTCCTCCGAGCTCATCAAACACCTAACCCAGCAGGTAAGAAGCTTTCATATTTCATACCAGCCATAGAAAAAGTGACCAGCCATTCACTGCCTCATGGCCCCTCTTGTCCAGTAACTGGGATGACCAACTTGTCCCAGTTTACACAGGAATTTCCACATTTTAGCACCAAAAGTCCCATGTCTCATGAAACCCCTTCATCCTGGTTATAAAATAGAACTTTTTGACTCCTATAAGCCCCGTCAGTCCTGGGAACACTGGAATGATTGCTCATTCTGCCTCTAAACTCCTTCCACACCTGCTCTTTGACCCTCAGCTGAGCAAGAAGGATGCTCTGAGGTCATCCTTTACTCACAGAGATGATGGTGCAGACGGGGCCAAGGAAGGTCCATATAAATTTCTCTTCTGTGTGGAGCCAGCATCTAGGAGAGACATGGAAAGGGATTGTAGAACCTATTTGCCTTTGTGGATAAACAGTCAATAAATTTATCCTTCACCTCCCACAGTTTCTTCTGCCTCCGCTATTATTAACACTAATATTGCTTTTTTTGGTAAGAGCATTTATGCTAAGACCTACCGTCTTAGCAAATTGTAAGCATACAGTACAGTATTGTTAATTATGGCACCATGTTCTATAGATCTCCTTCTTATTTATCTTTCATAACTGAAACTTTGGGTGTGCCCTTGATGATGATGATGGTCCTGGCTGTATACTTATCTTCAGACTCATCAGGTTCCATGCATCAACTCTGTACAGCGTTTTACAAATCAATCATGCCAGGATAATGTGGTTTTAAGAAAAGATAACTGTGTTTTTTTAAAAAACTTTAAAAAAAAAAGTCTTTTAAGTCTTGGACCGCAGATATGCTGGTAGAAAAAAATATATGTTTTTTAATGAAAAGACAAGACCCAATCAGTGAATTAATTTATAATTTATTGGACAAATATTGTGTCTCCTCTGTATCAGGATCTGTGCTTGACCTGAAAATCCAATTGCAATTAAGACAGACTGGTCTCAGGCCTCAGGGAGGCCCCAGCTGTGTGGGATGGTCAGCAGTTAGACAATGGAAACAATCAAGATGATGAGTTTTGGGGTCAAGCGTGAGGAGCTGTGAGAACCCGTAGCTGGATCAATAGCCTAGCCTGGGGTACAGGGGGTTCACATGGTTGGGAAGGGTCCCTGAGAGAACTGATACTGTTTATGCTGAGCTATGAAGGATGAACAGATGTAGAGAAGGTGAGAAAACTTGGGACACGCAAGAAGATAGTAAAAACGTGTCTATATAACGATAAACTGATAGTAGTAATTCAGGCTCGTGTGCACTATGTAATTTATTCCTCATGACAACATTGAGACTCAAGTGATCACGGAGGGGCATCTGATGCTAAGAAAACATAGTAACTCAAGGCCACACTGATAAAAATGATAGAACTGGAAATGATCCCACCTGAGAACCTTGTGAGTGAGTTGGGAGGTGTGAGGAAAGGAGTGAGGTGGATCCACCCGAGGACTCCAAGCGAACACTACTAAGGCAGTGTCAGTAAACTGCACCTTGTGGGCCACATGGGGTCACCACCTGATTTCGTGAATGTGTACATGTGAGTCACACTCATCCCTTACATATTGTCTACGGCACCTCGTGTGCTACAAGGACAGAGCTGAGTAGTTGCGACAGAGAACACATGGTCCACAAAGCTGCAATATTCACTTTGTGGTCCTTTCCAGATAAAGTTTGCTGCCTCTGATGCAAGTTATATAGGAAGGCCAGCTGGCCAGGGCTCCTCTGTTGTCAGCGAACGTTGATTTTAATCAGCAGAGGAGTATGTAAGTGACACCCTGTCTGGATTCGGTCCCAGCTCTGCCACCACCCAGGTGTGTGCTTTGGGCCATGTCAGTAATCTCTGTGCCCCAGTTTCCTCTCCTGTAAAACTCATATAACACTGGTTTCTGCCTCAGCGTGTTGTTGGGAGGATGGCTTGAGCTGGTACACGAAAACTATTTAGAACAATGACTGCGTGTCAGAAACAATTTCTGAATCTTAGCTCTGGTCAGCACAATGTCATTTTCTAAATCATCCTCCTTTTCTTTTTCAATTAAGGAGTGAAGGAACTTACACCAACCAATGCCATCCAGTTTGCTTTCTAGGAGATTTCAAACAGTCCCCTCATTTAATGCAATGAATATTATATTACTATACATTTACTGATATGTAAGATGGGGTTAATACTATGTATCATGTTCGTTAACGTACTATAGTCATTGATGTGATAGATAATACTTTTAAAAGATGAAAAGTCATCTCATTTATTTTAACTATATATTAATTTATGTTATTAATGTTTCATTATGATAGTGTTAGTTTTTAATATAACATAATCAACATTATGTATATATATATAATTAACATACTCTATAATTAATGTTTAAAATAATGAAATTTGAAGTTCTTAAATACATTCCTTTCAAGGAATGCCATCATGAAACCAGGAAGATGTCTTTGGGTGATTGCTGTGCATTTCTCTGTTTGTCATATTCTACTGAAAGTAAAGTGCTGCATGAGTTCTCTGCTGGCCATGGTCATGTGGAGAAGATAAGACCAGTGGGAACTTTAATTTACCGGGCAGCTGTTCCATAAAGGTGAGGCCCGGAAGCTGCAGAAATGGCCACAATCACAGCCGGGACTCCGTAGCCCACAGGGAACATGAACTTCTTCATGAACCTGCTCACGCTGGAGTAGTTGACCACCGTCAGGTTGCGTGCGGTGAGGAAGAGGTGCAGGCCCTCCAGCAGCATCCAGGTGAAGGCGGCCAGGTAGAGGTAGTGCAAGGCACCCGCGATGATGGCACATAGCACCTGAGGGAGAAGTTAGAGTCACCAGGTGGGATACTTAGGGGTCAGCATGGCCCCAGGACCTCTCCCATACCTTGCCATTGGGGAGACCTCTATTGTCTATGAAGGGATTGTCAAAAGAGGGTGAGTCCTCTCGTTGGATCAGTCAATGTGAAACTGGCCACTCACCCCTATAACCTTCCCAGAACCCAAGGACATTTTATTAGGGGGTCCAAGGCAGCATGGCCCCAGAACTCAGCCTTTCCTGGACAGGTGAGAGGGTCCTCTGGGACGGCGTCAGTACCTTGTGTTCGGTTCTGTCGATGGCCGTGAGGAAGAGCAGGTGCGCCAGGAAGAGGCAGATGCAGAGCTGCAGGTGGAGGGAGGTGCTGGTGCTCTGGATGGCTTTGCACAGCAGGAAGGTGAGGGCCGCCAGGAGGAGGCACAGCAGGGAGAGGCTCAGCCCCACCTGGGTGATCACAGCCAGGGCGGCATCCTCCTCCTGGGACCAGCAAGGAGGAGGCATCAGTCACATTCTCCTGCTCTGGGGTAATGGGCCTTCCACCACTTTTAGTTTTATTTTTTGGTATAATAGAATGAGGAATGGAGGAGCCACATAGACTCGTGATGTTTATGTATATTGTTAGAATTTTGTGAGGCTCCAAACTGATTTGGACCCTAAAAAATTTGAGGAATAGGATAGTCCTTACTCAAGACCAATTCCTAGAACTCATAGGGTTTATTTTCCTTTAGTCTTTTGGGCATGACTAAGCATGTAGGTTATCCTGCAAGGGTCACTGAGGCACAGAAGCTCCATGTTGAGCGCCATTTTCAGTCCCCATTACATGATGCTGTGTGACCGAGTCTGCACCTGGAGACTCGATGTCCAGGCATCAACTTCCCACCTTAGACTTCACTCACCGAGTCCCTCCAACATCTGTTCCTTGCTGGTCACTAACGTTTAGAGATTTATTGCTCAATGCAGATTTAATGGAGGAAAACTGCTATGTTTTTAACAGTGACAGTTTAAAATTCATATTTTCTACCTCATTTTCCAAATCATACATTCAAGAAGAGAGAAAACCACACCCTCTACATCAATTCCACTTCATTCTACCTAAGGGAAAGAGGAGGAGCGAGGAGGAGGGACGAAGAGGAGAGAGAAGAAAAAGAGAGAAAGAGAGAAATGTGCAAATGGTAAAATCGAAGTATAAATGTTTAAATTTGGTGCATCTGAATAAAGAGCAATATATGTTATTTGCATTTTTAATTTTTGCAACGTATCTATAAGATTGTAACTGATTCCTAATAAAATGTTAATAAATAACAAGTCTTCCAAATGATTCTGATGCACACTAAATTTTGAAAATCTTTGGTGTAAGAAAAAAATTCTAATTCCCCAACTATTTAATTTCCTTAAAAAAACTCTCACAAATCCATGGGTAATGTACCAACATGCCAATGGAAAAGTAGACTAAGAATGGAAACAAATTGTTTCCTGAGAAGGAAATAAAAACCACTCTTAAACATTTTTTCATTTCACCCATAAGAAGAAAAAATACACAAAAATTTCCCTAGATTCCATATTTACCTCTCAGATAGGTAAATATCCAAAAATTTGATAATAACCTTGGAGTGACATGTGAGGAATCATACTTCTTCATACATGCTAGTGGAAGTGTTTACAGGTACAACATCTACGTGGTGAAATATGGAAAAGTCTACCAACATACAATTATGAATTTGATCCAGCACTTGTCCTGTTTGCATATTCAAATGTGAGAACAATGCAGTGTGTATAAACAATTGAAATATTATTTCTATTAGCCAAGATCACAACAAAACACTCACTATGAGAGACCTTGATATGTCATTTATGGCACATCCACACAGAGAAATGCTATGTGGCAACAAAAATAATGGAGTGCATCTTTGTAGACTGGGATAGAATAATTTCTTAGATATAGCAAATAAAAACACAAAATGCACAACAGTGAAGAAAGCACTATGCCTGTGAAAAGAAGAAGGACATAGAACAAATATCATACATGCATTACTTTTATATGTATAAACTATCCACAGAAGACTGCAGGAGAAACTAACTTTGGGTGTCTGAAGCAAGAAGAATTAGGTGCCTGGGGTTAGGATTGAGATAGAGCAGGGTCTCCTAAACCCCAGGCTGCAGGCCAGGTCAGTCCCTGGCCTGGTAGAAGCCCAGAGGGAAATTCACCTGGGGTCTGCCCCCTGTCTCTGCCACTCCACTCCCACCCTGTCCATAGAAAAACAGGTCCCTGGTGCCAAAACGTTTGGGGACCAATGCCCTATGGAGTGCCTCCACCTGCTTTCCCAGGGTCCTGTCTTCATGGGGATGATGTCCTGGGCTGAGGCTGACGTGAAGTCTCTTCCCAGATAAACATTTTGTTTTAAAAGAAGAGGGGAAGCTGCTGGGGAGAGGGGAGATGAGGGGGTGAGAGTGCCTCGCAGGTAGATGGGGGAACTTGAGGAAAATAGGTGGGTGCTTCGGTATTTCCTGCCTCTCGGTCCCTTCAGGGGACCACTCACCTTGCTTTTGATTCCAGAGGGTGGGGTCCAGGTGGGGAAGGAGAATCCTGCTGCAGACAAAACAGTGGTTCATTAGGGGCTTCTGTGTGTGTGTGTGTGTGTGTGTGTGTGTGTGTGTGTGTGTGTGTGAGAGAGAGAGAGAGAGAGAGAGAGAGAGAGAGAAATAGAGAGAGGGTTGGGGGTGGGGTCTGGTGTCAGGTCTGGCCAGGTAACTTCCCAGGCCGTCATTTGGTAGTTCAGGGGTTCTGGTTTGGGAATAGAAGAATATGGAAATCCCCCCCACGCAGCGGGCACCTTTTCTTATGCACATGGGGTCCTCCTAGCGTCCTATGGGTGAATGTGGTGGCCTAGGTGCTCTGTTGTCTGGACGTGGATGGAATCAGCCTGAGTCCTACCTGTCTGCCACCCCCAGTGCCCTCAGCCTTCCTGGCAAGCTCTCAGCTGGGGTGGGGGACAGGGACAGAGTGGGCCTTCTTGGGAACTGAACAGAAAGGAAACGCATTTCGCCAGCAGGACCCATCTTGGCTTCCCATAGCGGCCTTTGTCCTAACTGCGGAAGGGCAGCTGCTCACTGGATGACTTCTCCTTGGAATCCCATTGACACTGTCAGGGCAGCGGTGCCCCCTCCACGCCAACCCTAAGGCATCTTGGGAGAGATGGACCAAGAACTGTCCCTGGGACAGGCCCTCCACGGATGAGGCTATCAGACAGGGGCAAGGAGGATGAAGAAGATGCTGGACAGGACAGGGCCACCCAAGCGGCACCGAGTCCTGGTTGGTCCCTGGGGGCTGACGTCCAGCCAAGCATCCCTGGTGCCTGTTTCTCACTCCTAAGATGGCATCCCCTAGACTGGCAGGAGGTGGTGAGAATCCACGTCTGAGGAAGACCAGCGGAGGTGAGGGCTGGCTGGCTGGAGAGGGGAGCCGGGTCTGATGGGTGAGGGGTGGCGGGCATTTCTGTGCTCTGGCCCGTTGCTCTCCCACGAGGGAGACAGACCTGTGTATCCCCGTGAGCGAGTCAGGGGTTCCCGATGAGGCCCTCTGTTATAGCCTGGTTCAGACGGGAGCCTCTTCCGTTTACCTGACCCTTCAGGTTTGCGTGTGTGTGGTGTCTGTGTCATTCTGCTCAGATCCAAGGATGGAGTGGGATGGTTCTTCTGGGTCCTGATGGTCTGTGTTGTCCTCTTGTGGTGAACTGAAATTACGGGGGGGGGGGGTAGGGAGTCAGGGGGGGTCACTTACATGGGGAAATAGAGGGAGTCTGAGCCGCTGGGAAGTGGGGCCAGGCTGTAGGGGTTGTTGGTCATGGCAGGGCTGGCCAGGGAAGGTGGGCCTGCCCTTGAACCCCCCACTCCCATGTTTCTGGACAAACTTACGGGTCCTGTCAGGGGCCAGCAGGTCTGAGAGTGAATGTGGTGTGGCTGAGCTCATGTGCGCCGCAGTGGGGGAGGACCCCAGCCTGGCAGTTGCTGATGACGGTGGAGAGGATGGATATGGTGCTGGAACGCAATGTACCGTGAGCTCCTGATGTGTCTCGAATGTCATCCCTCTCTTTTGTTTTATGAAAATACGATGCCAGAAAGGCAGGACAGATACTTTGAACTTCTAGAAATGACTTTCTGTGGAGGATTTTGGGCCTTGGATTTCAGAGGGAGCAGGTGACCAAGCAGGACAACCCTCTTATGTTGTAGAAAGTGGGGAAATGACCTAAAACTTCACAGACAAGGAGGTGGAAAACACGGGGAGGTCCTCACCTTGACACGTGTTCTCGTTTTCATTCCAGAACACTGCGGCCCCAGAAACAAGCCTATACCCTGAGTTGCACCTGCAGTAATAGCTCCCCTCTGTGTTCTGGCAGTTGGCGAATTTTCCACAGGACACCGAAGACGGTTCACACTCATTGACGTCTGGAACAGGACAAAGGGTAGCATTCCATAGGCATGAATACCCACAGGGCAGAGACCCTGGCGTCCGGCCTGACACCGCCATGGGTGCCGGACAGAACTCAGACCCCAGTTGGCACTTTGCGGGCTGGGCTGAGCTGGAGCCAGATGCTCTGGAGAGCCCGTTGACTGATGTGGTTGTATCTGCTCTCTGGTCGGAGCCTTCTGCATCATGGTGGCACTAGAAGGATGTCTGCATCCCCTTCTCCAGGCTCTGAGACAGAGACACTGACTCAGGCTCCAGACAATCCGTTTCAGGGCATGACTATCAGAGCCATAGGTGTCACCTCTAGTCATTGTGGCAGTGGCATTAAGAATGCCCTCAATGCATGGCTGGGGGCTGTCGAGGGTGACATCATCATTCACACCAGAGGGTAGAGCTAGGTTGTCAGACACCTGCCCATTGATGGCTTCCACCCCGCTTTAATCACAGCGGCCTAAGTGCACCTCACATTCCTCATCAGACACTCCCCCAGCTCCCAATGTCAGGCCTTTTCTAGATGCCTCAGGATGTCTTACTCTCTCCACCCCTGAGTGAAGTCCCTCCTTATCAGACCCCATCATGGATGCGAAGTGGGAAAACAGCACAGCAGCACGAAATTGCTCACAGGTGAGTCACTGGGTGTGTTTTCTGGCATCTTACCTTTCACTGTTCTTCGAAAGTGAGAGGGAAGGTGCCCATGAGCCAGGTCCCCTTTGAATAGCTCAGGAACCTCCAGAGCAGGGGCTGGACACCGTTGGGTAACGAAAATAACAACACCTCAGTAAGAACCAGGGGCATAAGATGGATAAAAAATGCAGGGACAGAATGTTTGACTCTGTACATTCCAATCAAGGGGCCAAGGACTTTAGAGCCTGGAAACACTCGTGGTGTTATGATGAGCAGGCAGCCCCAGACCAGAGCTTCCTCTCCATGGCTGCAGATTTCCCCTCTAAGGCCCCAGGCCCAGCGTGTGGGCTTTAGCCCCAGGACACAGGTGGAAGTAGGAGGGATGAACACCTGAGGGATTCATGTTCATTCCCCACCTGGGCAATAGGACTTCCCTCCTTTGTTCTCAGTTGGTGACAATGGCTGGGGATCTGTCTTCAAGTTTGATAGGATGGGTAGAACTGAGTAGAGGAGAGCTTAGAATGAGATTTGTGGGGGAGAAAACATGAGGATGGGAAATTCCTCAACCCAACAAGTGTGCTCCCTGCCAGGAGCTGGAACCCAGGCACATTAGTAGCAGGATCTCCTCTCCTTGTGCACCCAGTCTACAAATCTCTATGAGACACACTCGGGCAAATGCACACAGTACCTTTAGGAATATTTCTAGGGTCATGGGTGGGCTGGGCAATGGTCACAACAACATGTTTTCAACTGATAAATCAACTTTTCTCCTACTATTAAATAACAATATGATACTTAGAAAAACAAAGAAAATATAAAAAATGAAGACAAAGAAAATGACCCATGAGTCTACCACACAAATTACTGGGAAATTTTAGGGATTTTTTTTTCTCTTTGCTTCAAACATTTTAGGAATGTTTTATTACTAGTAAATATTTATCTAAGATCATTTTGAGTATATCGATGGTATTTCCCAGTGTAAAAATCATATAATTTCCTCTCCCTCCTTCACCTTTTTTTGTTGAGGTAAAATGTGCACATAACATAAAATTTACTATCATAACCATTTTTTAAAAATCTTCACCTGACGATACATGCTTATTGACTTTAGAGAGAGGGGTAGGGGGGGAGAGATGGAAACATCAATCAGTTGCTTCTCCTATGTGTAACCTAGGCAAGTGCCCTGACCAGGAATTAAACTTGCAACCTTTTGGTTTACAGGACAATGCTCCAATCAACTCAGCCACACTGGCCAGAGAGACTAGCATAACCATTTGTAATAACATCATTTCCTTTCATGATCTCATACTGTTGAAGAGTAAAAATTCTTTAGTTTTATACCGACATCTAGATTGTACCACTTTATTACTTTTGTGACTTTGGATAAATCACTCAATCTCTTGAGCCCAATTATGATCATTTTAAGTAGGATGCTACCCTGAAATCATATGACTTTTAAAAGAAAACATAGGGGCTAAGCTCCTTGACATTGGTCTTGGCAAAGAATTTTTTGGGTTTGACTCCAAAAGCATAAATAGACAGGTGGAAGTACCTCAAACTAAAAGCTTCTGCACAACAAAGGAAACCATTAACGAAATGAAAAGAGGATGTACAATTTGGTAGAAAAATACTTGCAAGTCATATATCTGATAAATATTAACATTCAAAATATATAAATAACTCATGTAACTCAACATAAAAAACCCTAAACATCCAATATAAAAATTGGCAGAGGATCAGATAAGCATTTTCCAAAGAAGGTATCCAAATGGCCAACAGGTAAGTAAAAAGTTGCTCAACATCACTAGTCATTAGGGAAATGCAAATTAAAACTATAATCAAATACTTGTAACCTCAAATCTTTTATAATGACTGTTATCAAAAACCCAAGAAATAATAAGTGTTGGTGAGGATGTGGAGAAAAGAGAACCCTTGTACACTCTAAGTGTATTGTAACTCATGCAGCCATTATGGAAAATAATATTCAAGTGCTTCAAAAAATTAAAAATAGAACTGTTATATGATTCATCAGTTCCACTTGTGGGCATTTATCCGAAGAAATCCAGAACACTAACTTAAAAGGATACCTGTGTTCCCATGTTCATTGAAGCATTGTTTCGAATAGCCACGGCATGGAAAAACCTAAGCACCCACTGATGAATGAATAGTTACAAAGAAGTTGTATATGTATACGTATACAGAAGTGAAATATTATTCAGCCATGAAAGAGAAGGAAATTCTGTCCTTTATAACAACATGGATACATTTTGGGGGGGGGCATTTTGTTAACTGACATAAGACAGAAAAAGACAAATACTATATAATCTCACATGTGGGATCTAAAAAAAACTAACACATGGGCACATGTGGTTTGCAGAGGTAGAGAGTGAAGGGTTGGAAAAATGGTTTGCAAACAAAACAACTAATTCTGCTTGCATCAAGGAGCTGCTGTGAGTCTGAGGTGGGCACCATGACTGTGGGCGGGCAGGGCTCCTGGGGAGCTCGAGCTGGTAGGGGAGCCTGAGATTCCAGGCCCTGGGTGTTTCTTTCTTCCCATTGTTCCCATTACTTCTGCCCTTTTCTTATGTAATAATAATAATATAATAACAATAACAGTGACAATAATTTGCATTTGTCGACAGTTTTCTCTGTAGCAGTCTTTACCTGTTCTTTATACAGGTAAATGTTAGATCTTGCTCTATGTATGTAGCAAGGATACAGTGATTATCCCCAATTTACAGACAAGGAAACTGAGGCTAAGAGAGGAGACATTATTGCAATAGTGTCAGAGAGCCAGTCAGTGGTGGAGCTTGGTTTTGAACCCACACCACCCAGCTGCTCTGGGCAAGCTCTCAGCGCTCCACCTACTGATCATGAAACCTGGGAGTCCACTTCCCTCCTCCTTCCCGGCCCTGCCTCCTCTCCCTTATACCTGACGAAGTGCTCCTGTGCTGCTCTCAGGGATGACGGATAGGGGTGTCCCACAACCTCCCCCCACAATCTCTGTATGCCCTCCCCCCATCAAGCCTCTGTACCATCGCAGCTCTCCGAGGGGCTGGTGACGATCTCCCCAGATGAAGAGCTGAACCCCGGAAGACAGCGACAGGCAGTGGCGTTGACACACGTGGACTGCGGGGGGCACCACGGAGCACAGGCCGTGGGGGCGGAAGCTGTGGGGGTAGAGGCCACGGTTGAAGGCCCAAGAAATGGAGGAAGCCAGCTGTCACCTGGGGGTTCAAGTGTCGAGGTGGGGGGAGAGAGACAGCTCTCATTAGAGGTAGAAGAGCTCCAAAAAATCTGAACATACAAGGAAAAAGAAATAGCTTTTCACATTTCTAGACGACCATCTCTGAGCCTCACTTGCAGAACAGCCCCTTTCCCCGCTTGCTGGTGAGAGGACCCACACCCCGGCAGGCACTCCCTGACTTCCATCACTAACACCTCTGCCTGTGCAGGCTCACCTCTAGCGTTCTGGTCTGCAGGTCCCAATGTCAACAGCAGCAGCACCAAGAATCCTGGGGCAGAAAGACAGAGAGGTGACAAAGAGCAGAGAGCTGAGCTCCACATCCAAGCCCTGTCCGCATGGCCTTTGCCTCCTTGGTAGTTGGCTCTGGATTTGCATGTCACAGCTTTCCAGCAGCTTCCCCAAGGCTCCTGTGGCTTACCTGGAATTGAATCCTTAGCCTTTTCCCTCCATCCCGAGACTTTCTAATCTCAGCCATAGCCCTTGTGGAACCTCAGGTGGTACAAATATGGGGGCAGATTACCATCATTTGCTAATTAATGACAGGGATATTCACTGAGAAAGCATCTTTAGGCAATTTTGTCATGTCAGTATCATGCAGTGTACTCACACAAGCCTAGACGGTCTAGCCTCAGCTGTACGGTGTAGCCTATTGCTCCTAGGCTACAAACCTGTGCAGCATGTTACCACATAAATAATACAGGCAACAGTGATCAGTATTTGTGTATCTCAACAGATCTAAGCATAGAAAAGGTATGGTAAAATATGATATAAAAGATTAAAAAAATGGTACGTCTGTATAGGGCGCTTGCCATGGATGGAGCTTGCAGGCCTGAAGTTGCTCTGGGTGAGTCTGTGAACGGCAAGAGATGTAAAGGCCCAGGGCATCGCTGCGCACTGCTGTAGACTTACAAGCACTGTGCGCTCAGGCTACTCTAGAGTGATAAAATTTCTTTTCTTTCTTTCATAACAAATTAACCTTAGCTTACTGTAACCTTTTTACTTTATAAACTTTTAAATTCTTTAAATCTTTTTGACTCTTTTGTAGTAACACTTAGCTAAAAACACAAACACATTGTACACCTGTACAAAAATATTTTCTTTTTTTACATATTTATTACATAAGCTTTTTTTTTTTTTTTACTTAAATAAAAAATTTTTTATTTTAAACTTTTTTGTAAAAAACTAAGACACAAACACACACATTAGCTCAGGCCTGCGCAGGGTCGGGATCATCAGCATCGCTGTCTCCACTTCCACGTCTCGTCCCAGGGGCAATAACACTGGGAGGTCTTCAGGGGCAATAACACGCATGGGATTGTCGTCTCCTAGGATAGGAGTGTCTCCTTCAGGAACACCTCCTGAAGGACCCTCCTGAGGCTCTTCTGGAGGAGGCGTCACTCTTTTCAGAAACATGTTCACAATGGTTTGCTTGGTTTGTTTCTTTTTTCATCACAGATTTACTTGTGAGCAGAAAATGTACCATGAACATTCCTCTCTATTAATGAAAACCTTTCAGTATTGGGGGTCCATGTTTTCAAACAATTTAAAAAGCTTGTCGGGATCTGTACAAACTTCTGCTAAACACTTCTACGTAAACCTTCTTGGGGGTTCTTCTTTTTCTTCTCTTTCCATTTCCTTTTCTCCTGACTCCTTCAGCTCTCCATTCCTGCTCCAATTCCAGCAACCCCTCATGAGTCGGTTCCTCAGAACCCACCTCTAGCGGCTCCGAGCTCCTCTGTGCCATCTGCTTCCACACCCAGGTTAAGTTGTTTGCCATCTCAGTCACAGCCTTGCTGATTTCTTCAGCCGCCTCATCCTTGGTAAGTCCTTTGAAGCTATACACGAACCTCTTGATGTCTTCTTCCAGATGCCATTCATACCCTCCTTAGTCACATGACCCCAAGCCCATGCAAGGCTCTTGATGCAGTCGCACGGATTGTAATCCTTCCACGATCGCATTGATGTCTCCTCAGTGTCTTACTGAGCTGCAGCAACAACTTGGGCCAAGTTCCTCCTCAGGAAGCAAGCCTTAAAAGCTGCTGTAAGTCTTTTATCCATCGGCTGAATTCAAGAGGTAGTGTTGGGAGGAAAAATACTGCATTGATATGAGGACGAAGATCACCGTTAAAAGGAGTACCATATTTTGCCATGTATAGTGCGCATTTTTTTGCCCACAGTTTTGAGGGAAAAATAAGGATGTTCATTATACATGGGTAGAACTAATTCTGTATCTATATAAATGTTTTTAATTCTTTTATTTATGCTTATGCATGACAAGCATAGCTCTAGAAAGCATATGCAAAATGATACCCTGGACTATAATAATCAGTTTTGTTTCTAAATATAAATAAATAACAAACTGAATAAAAAAATTAAAACAAAAGATTTTTTTCCCTGAAAGTTTGGGCCAAAAACATGGTTGTGCATTTTACATGGGAACACATAATACATGGCAAAATACAGTATGTCCAGGAGCATTATCAACAATAAGCAAAATCTTCAGTTCTATTGCTTTTCTAGTACTATTCTCCTAACAGTACGTCTCCATTTCACTGGCACAGCAATTTATGAAGGAGTCACGGAAGGGGAGCTGTGTCATCCCTGACTTCTCACTGCCCCCACAGCACCCTGCTGGTGTGTGCTCACTGAGACGCTGGAAGGCCCTGGGCTTCTCTCGCTGCCAGGCCACGAAGGGCTTCCATTTGTAGCCTGCAGCGCTGCCCTCGAGCACGAATTTACCCTCTCTTTAAAAGCCTTGAACCCTGATATCGACTTGGCCTCGCTACGGATAAATGTCCTTTCAGGCACCCATTTCCAGAGCAGGGAAGTTTCATCCGTATTGCACATTTGGTCTGGCAAGCAATTTTCCTCCACAGTCAGTTTGTCTAGAGTTTCTAAAACAGTCTTCAGCTGCCTTCACATCAGCACTCAGACTCACCGCTCACTTCCACATCACAGAATGAATACGGATTCTTGAATCACTTGAGCCACTTAGCACTAGCAGTAAATTTAACATTGTAGTCTAGCCCAGCCTTTTCTTTCTATGTTACAAATGAACTTTTTGCTTCGTCCATGAGCATCAGAGTGCTGTGAGAAATACGCTTTTTGTCTAGTCTTCAATCCAAATCTTTAGAAGTTTCTTTGTATCTGATATAGGCCCTTCTGGAATTTCTGTTAGTCTTGTTGCCTTTAATAAAGCAGGTACCTTAACAGCTTCCTATCACATTGTTGTTGTTGTTCTTTAAGATCATAGTCATGATGGAAGGGGAAATGCCTGACTGGAGAGCAATACCCATGACTGATTCTCAACTTTCAAAGTCCTCAATGACTTTCACTTTCATCTCCAGATCTGTCACCCAAAGTGGCCTCTTACTGACAACATGAACAGTGAATTCTCTATACTTCGGAGCCATGATGAACAAAACAACATAAGATTAAATCCAACACAGAGAAGACAATGCAATCAAGGGACTCCGTAAACACGAGATGTATGAGGCTGCTGCAGGCATAACATGGCATGCTGTTTTACAGCAAACTCTTTTTAAATAAGTAGAAAGAGTACATTCTAATATAATAATAAAAACTATAGACTAGTAAATACATAAATCAGTAACAGTTGTTTATTATCACTATCAAGTATAACGTACTTATAGAATGGCACGTGCTGTACTTTTGTATGGCTGGCAGCGCAGTAGGTTTGTTTACACTATCACTACAAACACGTAATGCATTGTTCTACGATGTTACCACAAGCCACTAAGTGATAGGAATTTTTTCGCTTCATTATAATCTCATGGGACCACCATCATATGTGCAGTCTGTTTTTGACTTAAATTTATGTAAACGCAAACTGCTGATGGCAAGGACACATCTCAGAAACTCTGAAGTCTCCCAATGGAGGGAGAAAATCTTGAAGAAGAAAGTCCTCAGACTGGTGTGCCTTTGCCCAGACCCAGGTTCTTGTTCTTTGGCAATGGCACAGGTCTGCTTTGTGAAAGCCCCACACCACTCTCTCCTCCCCGGTAAGTAGGTATCTTTTCTTTTTCACATGGAGGCATCCACCCTATGGGTGAATGTGGTGGCCTCGATGCTCTGTTGTCTAGGAGTAGTCAAAAGTGGCCTGAATCCCCCCACCTGTCGGTCCCGTTACCCTCAGCTCACCTGGGCAGCTCCCAGGTGGGGCAGGGACATTACGGCCACCCTAGCCCCAGCCCGAGGATTTGGACAAAGGCCAAGATGGGTCTTCCTGGAACCAAGTGCATGAAAAATGCTGCGTTCCCCTAGCAGTACCCGTCTTGGTTCCCAGTGATGACCTCTGTCCTGCCTCCTCCAGGGAAGCTGATCACTGCCTGAGTGCTCCTGGAGATCCTGTAGCTTCTGGGAGGCAAAGCTCTCCCATCCACGGAGCTGGACCAAAAATCGCTCCTGACATAGGCCCCGCAAAGGACTTACAAGAAGAAGTGGTATGGAGAGTGACCATTAAGCCAGATAGGCAAGTGCCACTGACAGTGAGCGTGAGGCTGGAATGAACAGGGGGGTCCATATCCAGCCTGCAGTCTTGGGATTGTGAAGGTGCTTTTCTGATCCCTGCAAAGACATCCCCTGGACTGGCAGGAAGGGGTGAGAATCCACACCTGAGCAAGGCTAGCCTTGGGCTGGGTGGCTGGAGGGGAGAGTATATGCTCATGGGGGTGGGGAGGGGCGGCAGGCATTTCTGTCATCTTGGCCTATGGCCTCCCATCATGGATGTAGACCCATGGGCCTTGCTGAGTGGGACTTAGCCTTCGTCTCTGTCCCTCTATCATCTGGGTCATCGTGGGGCCTGGATTGACCTCCTAGGGAGAGGGTCCGGCCTGGGGCAATGGTGCCTTCTCTATCTCATTAGCTCAGATGGGAACATCTTCCATTCATCTTACTCTTGAACGTATGTGGGGTGATCCATGTCACTCTGCCACCCCTGACACAACATCCTCCTGGGTCCCAGTCACCTGAGTTGCCCACAGGCCCATGAAATGAATTGTTGGTAAGGTAGGGAAAAACGGCTGGAGGTTTAGAAGCCAAAGAACCAGGTCGAGGGTGCCAGGAGATGTCTTCTCCAGGTGGGATTGTTGGCCCTTGGTCTCAGAGAGCTCCTTGCATGGCCAAGCTTCCAATGAGGGAAGCTCTAATTCTGGCAGTGACTGATGAAGAAGAGGGTGAGTATTTTGCTGAAATGCAGTGCGCTGTAAGTTCTAGACCTATCTTGAATTCCACTCCTCTCTTTGTTTTACAGAAATAAGATGCCAGGTGGTAAAGGGGGTGTCCCAAACTTGTGGAACTGGCACCCCGTGGAAGGTGTGAAACCTTGGAGTTTGGAGAGGGATGGGACACCAGGCAGGTGCCCAGGGTGGTCCTCTGATGCCGGGAGAAAGTGAGATGAGTGGTTCCAAACATCACAGGTGAGGAAATGGAAAATGCAGTGTCCTTCTTACCTTCACATGTGTTCTCACTCTCATTCCTGAACACTACCTCAGAAACCGGCTCCTGGCCTGGGCTACACAAGCAGTAGCTTCCCTCTCCGTTCTCGCACTCTGCATACGTTCTGCAGGACGTTGTTGAGTTTGGTACACATTCATTGATGTCTGGAACACAACAAGGTAACATGTCACCTCCAAAAGGCATGAGTTTACAGAGGGCAGAAACCCTGGCCTCCAGCCTGACACTGCCATGGGGACAGAAGAGAACTAGCTCCTAGGTGGCACGCCGTGGGGCTGGGCTGGGCAGGGCCGGCTGCTGCCGAGCCCGCTGGCCTCCCTGCTCCTCTCTGCCATCTGGCTGCTCTGAGGACACCCAGACTCACACACTCTGCTGTGTCATGATGGGGCTGGAAGGGGGCTGTGTCCTCTTTCCAGGCCTTGAGGGGTAGATGGAAGCACTGACTCAGCTCCACACCCTCCACTGTGGTGCTGCTTGTACCACTGGGGATCTAGACGGGGGCTCTAGCCAAAATGATAGTGGCACTGAAGTCCTTCTTTGATGCTGAGATAATGGAGGAAGTCATGGCTGGGGTATCTCCAGGGTGACATCATCATTCACATCTGAAGGCAGAGCCAGGTGGTGGAGCCCCTGCCCATTCATGGGTCCCATCCCACAGTGGCCCAAGTGCGCCCCACACTCCTCATCGGGCGCTCCCCCAGCTCCTAATGTCGGGCCTTTTCCAGATGCCCCAAGCTGTCTCTGGAGGAGTCTTGCTACCTTCATCCCTTATCAGAACCCATCATAGATGTATAATGAGGAAGCAGCACAAAGGTGCTCACAGCAGTGCCTTCTGGCATCTCTCTCCCAGTTCTCTAAACATGAGAGAAAGAGATGCCAATGACCCAGGTCCCCACTGAATAGCTCAGGGACCCCCAGAGCAGACGCTAGACAGCATTGGCTTAAACAACGGCTTCATAAGAATCAGCAACACAAGAATGAATCACAATGAAGTGAAGGATATATGGTCCTGTGCATTCCAATCAGGGGACCAAAGACTCTTAGAGCCTGAAAGGACTCACAGCATCATGATGGGTCAGGGCAGGCAACTGGTATCCCCAGATCAGAGTTCTCTTCTCTGCACCTGCATGTTTCTCTTCTAAGGGCCAAGGCCCAGGCCGTGGGTGTCAGCACCAGGACATGAGAGGAAGCAGGAGGAATAGACATTCATGGGGTTCATGTTTAGTCCCTACCTGGGTAGCAGGACTTTCTCTCCTGTTCTCAGGTGGTGGCAATGGCTGGGGATCTGTCTGAAAGGCTGATTGGATGGGGCGGAGTTGAGTGGGGGAGAGTTGAGAATAAGGCGTACGGAATGGGAGGACACGAAGATGGGCAAGTCCGCAGCCTGACAGGTGCCCAGATCAAGAACTGAATCTGGGAATGCGGTAGAATTTACATATGAAGTTTAAAGGGATCCATGGAGCTTGAGTGTGGGGACAAGGGCGGTGGGAATGGTGAGCATAGTCAAAGGCTCCAGGAATGGATGAAGCCAGCTGCCATGCGGTGGGTCCAAAGTAGAGGAGGGGAAGTAGAGATGGCTGTCATTGGAAGAGAAAATGACACAAAACTCTGGGCACTTCGGGAGGAAGAAATGGGTGTGTACTCTTAACTCCAGAACACCATCTCTGTTCCTCATTTGCAGAAAAAGTGTCCTTTCCTCGCCTGGCTGGTGAAAGGCCCCAGACCCCGGCACGACTCCCCGGGTTGTGTCACTAATGGGATGGCCAGGAGACTCACCTCCAGGGTTCAGGCCTGCAGCGCCTGGTGTCAGCAGCAGCAGCACCAAAGGTCCTGGGGCAGAAAGACAGAGAGATGACAAAGTAGAGGAGAGTCGAGTTCCAGTGTCAACCCCTGTCAGCACAGCCATTGTTCCTTTAGTAGGTGGCTCTGGCCCAGCAGCCCACAGCTTTCAGCAGCTCCTGGAGGCTCCTGCGTTTTACTGGGAATGGAGGAATAAGCCTTCCCCCTCCATGTCCCAGGGCTCTCTGAGGAGTCAATCGCCCGTGTCCATAGTCCTCATGGAACCTCAGATGTTACAGTAAGGGGACGAAAAGCACACAGACAGCTGATAACAGGGACATATCCTGGACACTCCAATATCTCCCAATGCAGGGGCTACATCTTAAAGGAGAAAGTCCTCAGACTGGTTGGCCTTTGCCGAGACCCAGGGTCTGTGTTCTCTGGCAATAACAGGAATCTGCTTTGAGGATTTCTCTTCCAGGGTCACTTCTATTTAACACACAGTTTCAGCATATACCAAGATCGCATAGGTATTGGAGCCATACAGCCTCAAGCTTGAGTCTTTGAATGATGAGGAGCAGGACACTGAGCCCCGGAATCGAGAAGGGGGTGCTGATGAGAGTGAGGAGTTAGAACTAAGGCCCCTGCAGGCAGAGCCACCATCTCCTGGGTAAGTGGCTTCTCTGGGTACAGAACCTGTGGCTTCTATGCCTCCTTCTAAATGAGCTCCTGACCCCCTAGTCACACACCGAGGGTTCGGCCTTTGCCCTTTATCTCCCTGAGAAATGAGGCACTGAGCAGGCTTTGTGGTGTGAAAGCCATGACTGTACAAAGGAATGAAATGTACCCTCCAGGCCATAAATGGACCACGTATTACAACCTGCCATCCATTTTTGTGAGCCATGAAGCCCATGAAAACCTTTTCAGGTCTGTGCATCTTTACAGAATTTCCCCAAAACATGCCCAGCATTAAAATAATAATGTTCCAAATTCAGATGATAAGAAATGTGGCTACTTTTATAAAAACCAGGAAACAAATTACAGCTAATGAAGACAGTATGTAAAGAACATCTAACTTACTAGGCAACATGTAAGCTTTAAAGGAAATAAAGACCAATCAGAATTCAGAGGATCTCACTGATACTAGTTCTTACTAATTCACTTTTATTGTCCTTTATTTCATGACCCACACAAAGCCTATAGACTAAAGGACAATGTTTTTCTTAGTGCAGTAGAGTTTTCAGATAGTTTGGTTGTTTATTCTTCTGAAAGAAATAATATAGATGATATGATAGTTAATTTATGTTCCAATTTGGCTAGGCCAAAGCACCCAGATAATTACTTAAAACCTAGTGTACATAGATGTTCCCGTGAAAGGCTTTTTAATTTTTCTTTTAGATGAGATTAACAGTTAAGTCAGTAGACTTTGAATAAAGCATATCACCCTCCATAATCTGGGTGGGTTCATGCAGTGAGTGAAAAACCTTAAGAGAAAAGAGATGGACCTCCCCTGAGGAAGAGGGAATTGTGCTTCCAGGCTGATTTTGGACTTGAATTCAGCATGAAAGTCTTCCCTGGGCTCCCAGCCTGCCAGCCTGTCCTGCAGATTTAGTGAACCAATGTTTTAAAATCCACCTCTTCTCCAGTTTATTGGCTGTTTCTCTGATGAACTGAGCTAATACGGGTGGTAAAATCGGAACCCTCCGTTAATCCCCACTTTGCTGTAGGAATGACTTTCACTGACTTTTCCTTTGAGAGTTAATACCAATGAGCTAATACCCTTCTTAAAATTTCTTTCTTTTGTTTCTTACAAAAACAGTGGGAAAACAAACTAGATATGAAGAAGGACAGAGAATATTTTCAAACTGAATAGAGAGTTTCCACATAGCTTTAACTGCCTCTCATCGCTGTTAAACCTCTACCTACCTGGCAGCAGTCTCAGACACCTGCTCATCATGGTGGGGACACTGGCAAGCCCAGCCACGGAGGACGTCTGATCTCGGTCTGTGTGTTAAAAACCCTCCCTGTTTTAAGTATGTGTTGTTCCCTAGAGGAGGTGGCTTAGGAAACCACTGGTGTGGGTGCTTTTTTCCCCCAAATGTGCCTAATAATTAACTTTTAAGAGACACTACTTCTTCTTTTTAAGGATTTGCACAGCAATGAGTATTTGTACTGGCAACCTCCTTAAGAGTGATTTTGAATGTTTTTACACAGGAAGATGTGATATTGTGCACTCCAAGACTTCCCCAAATGAAGAATCACTTTACTTCTCTTTATGCCCCTATGAGGACCTTAGGTCAGAGTAAACAGAATTATCTATTTATTCTATTAACAGACTTTTTAAGGAGGTATAAGTGACCTACAACGTTATATAGCTTTGGATGTACAACATAATGATTTGATATTTGTATATATTTTGAAATCATAAACACAGTACATGTAGTTCACATTCGTCACCGTACAGAGTCATAAAAAAATTTTTTTTATGATGAGAACTTTTTAGATTTCTCCGATGGCAACTTTGAAATACACAATAAAGTATTATTAACTGTAGTCACCATGCTTTCCATTATATCTCCATGATTTATTTATTTTATAACAGGGAGTTTGTAGGTTTTGACTCCCCTCATACATTTCAGCCCCCATCCTTGCCTTTGGCAATCACCAGTCTGGTCTGTGTATCTATGGGTTTGACTTTATTTTTTTAGATTTATTTTAGATTTCACATATGAATTAGATCATACTTTATATTTCTTAATCTATCTGACTTATTTCCCTTAGCATTTCAAGGCCGATCTGTGTTGTCACAATGGCAAGATTTCATTTTTTTAATTGACGAATAATATTCCAATGTATATATATTACACTTTAAAAATCCACTCATCCGTGGATGACCACTTAGAGTGTTTCCACATCTGGCTATTATAAATAATGCTGCAATGAACATTAGGGTGTCTCTATCTTTCTGACCTAGCATTTTCATATTTTTCAGGTAATTACCGAGAAGTGGAATTTCTGGATATGATCATTTTATTTTTCATTTTTTTGGAACTTTCAAAATTTATTTTTAAGTTTTTATTTTAAAATAATATAGATTCACAGGGGGTTGAAAAAACAATACCATGACGCCATGTTTCTTGTTCACCCAGTTTTCTGCAGAGGTTACATTTTTATATAATCAGAGTCAAATATTTAAACCAAAAAATTGATATTGGTAGAATGTGTGTGTTTAGTTCTATGACTTTTTAAAAAAGAGTTTATTTATTTCTTTTTAGAGACAGGGAAAGGGAGGGAGATAAACATCAATGTGTGGTTGTCTTTCACGTGCCCCCTACTGGGGACCTGGCCGGCAACCCAGGCATGTGCCCTGACTGGGAGTCAAACTGGCGACACTTTGGTACACAGGCTGGCACTCAATCCCCTGAGCCACACCAGCCAGGGTTAGTTTTATGAAAATATTGACAGAAGACCTGAATAGACACTTCTCCAAAGAGGACATACAGATGGCCATTAGACATATGAAAAGACGCTCAACATCACTAATAATCAGAGAAATGCAAATTAAAACCTCAATGAGGTATCACCTCACACCTGCCAGAATGTCTGTTGTCAATAAATCAACAAAAAAGTGTTGATGAGGATGTGGAGAAAAGGGAATCCTCATGCACAATTGGTGGGGCTGCAAATTGGTCCATCCGCTTTGGAAAACAGTAAGGAAGTTCCTCAAAAAAATAAAAATAGAACTACGTTATGCTCAGCAATTCCACTTCTGGGTGTTGATCTGAAAAAAAGAAAAAAAACCCCACTGATTCAAAGAGATATATACACCCCTATGTTTGTTGCAGTATTATTTGCGATAGCCAAGAAATGGAAGCAACCTCAGTGCCCATCATAGACAACTGGACAAAGAAGATGTGGTACATACCTACAATGAAATACAACTTAGCCATAAAAACAATGAAATCTTACTATGGCAACAACATGTATGGACCTAGAGGGTATTATGCTGAGTGAAATAAGTCAGACAGAGAAAGAGAAGTACCATATGATTTCACTTACAAGTGGAATCTAAAAAACAAAGTGAATGAACAAACAAAACAGAAACAGACAGAGTCAGAGAACAGGCTGATGGTTGGCAGAGGGGAGGGGAATTTAGAGACTGGGTGAAAAGTGTGAAGGAATTAAGAAGTACAGATTGGTAGTTTCAAAAGAATCACGGGGATATAAAGTATAGCTGAGGAAATAATAGTCAATAATGTTGTAAAAACTATGCATGGTGCCAGGTGAGTACTAGACTTACCATGGTATCACTTTGTAAATTATATATGAGGGGTAACCCCCCCAAAACCCTGGAATTATCTTCTGGAGGGCAGGCCCCTTATAGTACTGGCTTCCCCCACTAGGTGAGTGTCCTAGGAACCCATCCACGTCAGTGTGCTGGCTGGCGTTATTGTGAGAGGTTGTGTTAGGCCTCAGTGAATTTTTTTGAAGGTTCTTTCAATACATTTGCCCATTTCAGTGACGGGTGATCTATGAATGCACCTGCCCACACTGCGCTGTGTTCAGCAGTTTTTGACCGAAACCAGCATGACCCCTGTGCCCCACCCTCCCTATCCACCTGATCTCACCCCAAGAGACTTTTTTTCTTTGTTTCCCTGGATGAAAAAAGCCCTCAAAGGGCAATATTTTGCCGACACGGAAGAGGTAAAACAAAAAAGGGCAAACGTATATAAAAGACATCAAAACTGATGAGTTCAAAAACTATTTTGAGCAGTGGAAAAAATGTCTCAGTAGGTGTAATGTATCAAATGGACATGTAGGAATATTTGAACATGTAGGACTAAATACACAATTTTTTATAAATAAATTCTGGACTTTTTTTGTGTGTCCCCCTTCGTAAATGTCTAACTGCTACACTGTACATCTGAAACTAATATAAAAAATATTAAATGTTAAAAAGTAATTGAAAAATTTAAAAAAAGAACAGAAAGAAAAGAGTCAATAACTACGTTGCCAGAGAAAACAGACACTGAGGATGCCAGCAGTCAAAGAGTCTAATCCTGTGCACTAGGGCCAGGATGACTTGCATTCACAGTGCAGCTTCAGGCCACCCTGGACAGGAGAATGTTTGAACGCCAGTCTCACTGCATGTCTGTGCTCACAGGGAGAGCGAACAGGGCAAATAGTTCCATGACAGTTGTGATAAATATGAAATTGAGAGTGGTTTCACCACAAATTTTTTTATTTTTATCTAGTTTTTCAATTATTTACTATATGGGTTTTGATTTAGTCTTGCCTAGGATATTGTCCTTCATTTTCGAATATTTTGAAAACTTGGTAGATTTTTAATATGCCTGGAACATTTATTTAATAATATTTTTAAGTGAATAGACTTTTCCTGACACCATTTTGGGGGTAGACTATATTGTCTTTCTTGACTTCATATATAAAGTTTCACACATTAATTCAAAATGCCATTTCTATTAAATATTATATGCTATATAGGATGCATTTTTTATTTTGTTTCATGACCCATTTTCTTCTATTCCTGAAACAATACTATACTTTTGAAATGCCATGTTTTTGCTTTTATAGAAGTTATAAAGCAAATCTGTATTGTATGTCATATAAATCCCAATCTGGATTTGGATATGAAGAGACTTTAATTAGAAAGACTATTTTAATAGGGAGAATGCTCTGATCTCAGAAATCTTTGAGCATCTCAAAATTGTATGGAAAAAAATTCTTTTATACGGTAAAAAGGAGGAAACAGGCAGACAGGAGTAGACTCTTGGGAGGCGAAGCTGGACAAAGTGGGGAAATTATGAAAGGGTTGTGGCACACATGGGTCTTCCGCGGTCAGCCACTCCCCAACGGGAGCTGATGAAGGGCGCACGTTTACTTTTTGTGTGTGTGCTGGCTCAGATTTGGGCGTAAGCAGAGGGTAAGACATAGGCCTTTGTGAACACTCGATCACTTATTATTCTTCACAATTGTGCTGTCTCTTCTATTACATTTTTCTTCTATATGAACTCAATAGGTAGTTTTCTAAGTTCTATAAGAATATGTCTTGGGACATTGACTCTGATTGCGTCGACTGTGTAGGTTAATTGGCGTTAATAGCCTTTGTATAATATGAAGATTCTTCTACACCATCACAAAAATTCTATCTTTAGGCAGGTAATGATTTTTTTTCTTTCTTTGTTTAAAATTTAATTTTTTTCTTACTTTCCCTTTTAGTCCCCTTAGACGCCCTTTCCCCTAGCAATTGCCACACTGTTGTCCATGTCCATGAGTCCTTTTCCCTTTGGGCTCGATCCCTCTACCCCCTAACCTCCCCGCTGCCGCTATCTGCCACTCTGCTTTCTGTCTATGAGTCTGCCCCCATTTGCCATGTTAGTTCGGTTTGTTCATTAGATTCACATATGAGTGAAACACTGTGGTATTTGTCTTTCTCTGGCTGGCTTATTTCATTTAGCATAGTTTTCTCCAGGTCTATCCATACTGTTACAACGAATAAAATTTTCTCATTTTTTGTTGCCTAATAGTATTTTCCACTGCATAAATGTCCCATAGTTGTTTTATCCACTCATCTATTGAGGGACACTTGGGCTGTTTCCATATCTTGGCGATTGTAATTAACACTGCAATGAACAGAGGGGTGCTTATGTCTTTTCAAATTAACGTTTTTGGATTCCTTTCGATATAGTCACAGAAGTGGGATCGCTGGTTCAGAAGGCAGATCCATTTTTAATTTTTTGAGGTATCTCCATACTGCTTTCCACAGTGGCTGCACCAGTCTACATTCCCACCAACAGTACAAAAGAGTTCCCCTTTCTCCACATCCTCACCAGTACCTGTTGATTTATCCATGATAGCCATTCTGACAGGTGTGAGATGGTATCTCATTGTGGTTTTAATTTCCATTTATCTGCTAATTAGTGACGTTGAGCATCTTTTTATATGTCTATTGGCCATCTGTCTGTCCTCTTTGGAGAACTGTCTCTTCAGGTCCTTTGCCCATTTTTTAATT